CTAATCCACCATCCAAGCCCATGATTGAACGACCAAGACGATCAACAACCAACTACAACAGAAGCTACGCACTCAACGGACAAGGGCGAAAGGAGGGACGTGAAAGCAGAGTGAAGGCCGAGTTAACTTCAATGGACCCGGTCAGGCGGGATGGATGAGACAGAGAGAGTGCAGAGGAAGCTTAGGATGGAACGGACGGCGGAGGGAGCAGTGAGTCGGAGAGTAATGATGGGAGTGATGGTGAGAGTGCCGGTGAGAGTGTTAGTGTTGTGAGTAAGTTTCGTGGTAGCAAGTCTTCAGTGTACAATCATCTGCTAGCTAGTCCTGATTGTTGCAATTCGTATTCCGACGCTTCGTTCCCTGTAATGTGCCGTGGTCGTCATGGTTATGGACTGAAGTTAAAAGTGTTGGAAGCTATCTATCAGCGTCTGTATAATCCTAATTTGTGTGTACAGAAAGATAGTATAATTGGGTTGAAATTGTTCAAGTAACGTGTCGTGTTTTGGTGCGGCCAAGCTTGGCTGTTAATGTTCTAGGTGAAATGTACTGCTGTTATGTGTTATCACTTTGTCCTCCCTTCTTTCTTTCTCTTGTTTGTTCATTTTTCCATTTGAAAGTTTATTGTTAGCACACGCATTCATTATTGCTCTCGCCTTGATTGTTTAAATTCACACTTGTAAATTTCACTACTGTTGTTCTTAGTGTTATTTCTCTAATTTAGATTTTCTATAATAGTTCAATTTTGTTTCAGTGTCCTTTAGTACAACGACGATTCCTGATAAGTGTTGTACGAAAACTTGTTTGAATCCATATTTTTTCTCTACACCATTTCTTTTCATCGTTTTATTGCACATCGTCTCCACCGTTTTTACATTTCATGAATAAAGTACACAAATGTCGGTTCAGCTCATTTTATTGATTGCGGTTATCAAATTATTGTCTCCTCGCCGTTTGTTTAAAAAAGAAAGAGCGTTACTTACATAGAGAGATGCTAGGGAAGGCACATGTGTAAACCATATACTTTGAAGTACTAGTAACAGCGAAGACGATCTGGGACGTGGAGAAGCTGCACTGTGACGTGTGAGAATGCGTAGATCGACCTGCCATTTTGGTTCGTTCCAATGGCAACTTAGACTGAGACTCTATTCCCATCAATCGATCTTGCAGATTTTTGAATACATGTCCATTGAGTGTGTTGAAATGTATCCCTTCCAATGATACACTTTTGTCGAGCAGAGCTACTAACAGAAAAGTCACGTGAAAAAGTCATGAATTTTATGTTTCCGTAGGGTGTAATTTCACCACCAGCCCCCCCCCCCCCCCCTGACACGCCAACACATACACACATACACACACACACTTGTACTTGTACTTGTTGCTCACTGCCAAAACTGGTCACGTGGGTCTCCCCGGTAGAGGGGAGAGGGACTCAAAAGGAATCTTGGAAAGATGACTCAATTGTCTATAGAACCACACAACGGCCGACACCCCCTGAAATCCCCAAAACTTCGGGGAAATCACCCTGAAATCCCCAAAAGTGTACAAAACTCTGGGTTAACAGGTATGTATACTTAAAATAGAAAGTATATTGACCCTGGAACGAACAAAGGTGGCAGGTACAACGTTACACCTTCAAACAGCCGAGCCCGTTTGCAACATACCCAACACAATCAGGCATAAGTCTACCCATCGACCGAACTAGCTGGCACCACACACACACACTTGCACTCACGCATGCCCGCACGCATGTGCGCGCGCAAACACACACACACATACACACACACTACTACTACTACTACTACTACTACTACTACTACTACTACTACTACTACTACTACTACTACTACTACTACTACTACTACTACTACTACTACTACTACTACTACTACTACTACTACTACAACTACTACTACTACTACTACTACTACTACTACTACTACTACTACTACTTCTACTACTGCTGCTGCTGCTGCTGCTGCTGCTGCTGCTGCTGCTGCTGCTGCTGCTGCTGCTGCTGCTGCTGCTGCTGCTGCTGCTGCTGCTGCTGCTGCTGCTGCTGCTGCTGCTGCTGCTGCTGCTGCTGCTGCTGCTGCTGCTGCTGCTGCTGCTGCTGCTGCTGCTGCTGCTGCTACTACTACTACTACTACTACTACGACTACTACGACTACTACTAGCAGCATGACTGCCCAGATGGGCAAGTGTCACCCCTATGAAAAGGGGACCAGAAAACGGGAGTCGGATCACAAGCAGGACCGCGAATATCAAGCTAGGTCCTGCTGCCGGCGGAAATTGCGTTTATAATGTGGGCAGCTGAGGGGCAGAGCTGCTCTCTCCGCAGCAGATGGTCTCGCACCACGATTGCAGTTGTGACACTTGAACCCGGCCGCAGAACGGAAGCATCGCTGACATGTTGGGCAGTGCTGCTGGCAACAAGCTGAAAGTGGCACAGACAGACTGACTGTTGGTGTAGGAGAACTCGTGACAGGCTGGCATCGATGAACAGAGTAGCCACCCTTGCTGCGGAACCACCTCTGGCAGTTCTGGCACTGCACTGATCCATGCTGGAGCTGGATGGGAAGCCGTCTCTGAGTGGTGCACTTGTGCCGCGTTCTATCAGAGACCCGTGAGAAGTTCCGGCCACACACTGCGCAATGCACAGACTTGGGCATGGTGGAGCTCGACTGAGGGGCAACCCGTACTTCCCTCCACTGTTGGCGGTCCTGAGCAAGGATGAACCACTGAGATGGCTGTTGCAGTGCAAACTTGAGGTCGGTCATCACCGTGTCTTTCCACCGTTGTCGGGGACCACAAAAAGGCCGAGGCACAGGTAGCCAGCCACCCAAAGAGGAGTTGGAGGGGGTGCAATCATCATCCATATGCGCAACGTGCCCAGTCCATTCCAGTCGCCGATTGTTGAGGCGTGTAGACATCAGTACTGGGTCTCCCCAACGGCTCCGCCACACACACACACACACACACACACACACACACACACACACACTACTACTACTACTACAGTAGCTTGGCTGCCACAAGGGCCACACCACTACGAAAGGAGCCAGAGTCATTGTCAGGAGCAGAAACGGAGATGACGACTCAGGTCACTCTGTCGACGGAACTGACGGCTGCAGCGAGAACAGCGAACACCATACGACGCTATTGCCAGCTGCCAGAAATGGCCACGCCGCTCCCCAAAGGGAGGTACTGTCAGAGAGGTTAGGGGGGAGGAAGGCAATGCTCCAAGTGGCGTTCCAGATCTTGCCGCCTCCGGAACCGTCGGTTGTGGCAAACTTGGCAGTGAAACTTGAATTGTTGGCGTTCAGCCACAGTAGGGCGCTTTGGACAGGTTCCACAACGGTGACGCTTGAGACCCGCAGCCGATTTAAATGAACGCTGACAGTTGGTGCAAGTTACACCAGGAACAACAAGAGGAGCAGGGGCAGGGGCCGGGGGCTGGTCGACATCGCCTAGCCGACACTTATGCACCGCAAAGCCTCCTCTGCTACGTAGCCATCGGTTGCATGTTGGACACTGTACTGATCCAGGCTGCTGCGATACCGGGAGCTGACGGATTGCTGAACACTTGTGCCGGACCATTTCGGAACTACGGCGGAACAGACGGTTGCAGGTTGGGCACTCGATGCTCTTCGGGGCGGGTTCCTTGTCCTCACCTGCTGCTGTCACCACTCCACGCCACTCTCCACGATCGCTTGCCAACTCAAACCAGTTACGCACTCCAGCCACGGATAGGTCCGTGTGAATGGTGTCCTTCCAGCGACGACGAGGTCCACAGAATGGCCGAGACCGAGGGAGACAGGCAAACAGCAACTGCTTCGGTACTCTGGTGTCATCAAGACGAGCCAGGTGCCCAAGCCACTCCAACCGTCTCTGCTGCACCATGCGTGACAATGGTGTGGGATCACCCCACTGTGCTCGAAGAGATGTGCTGTTCCCACTGTCGGCCTCGCGATACGCCAAGGATGGAGCGAATGTTGGCATGGTGAAACCGGTCCATTCTATCTAAATCTGCCTTCAACGGCGTCCAGCATTCTGAACCATACAGAACCGTTGACAGTACGCAAACGACATACAGGTGGCGCCTGGTAGGGAGGTTCAGGCTCCGGTCATGTAGGATGCGCCGAAGACCAGCAAAGGCCCCTGCACCCTTTGCTAGACGGCTCCGAATGTCCGCTTGCGACCGCGAGTCTGGAGTAATGGTGGAACCAAGATAGGGGAATGAGGTGATTGCTTCAACCCTATCACTGCCAATGACCAAATCAGAGCAATCAGCAGGGCAAACTCCGAAACCTGCAACGAGAAGCTTGGTCTTGGTCATGCTCACTGTGAGACCCAAGCTGGATGCGACCTCACAAAAGGCACACAGGGATTGATCGGCTGCGTTGCGAGTTGTAGCGAGCAGTACAGCATCATCCGCAAACTCGAAGTCATCAGCATGGCCGGACTCGAAGTGGGGACGACGCCTAGTGACACGAGGGAACAGCTGGCCATCAATTGTGAAGCTGAACACACACACACACACACACACACACACAAACACACACACACACACACACACACAACGGTTCTGTCCTTTGTGGCCTCATCAATACAGCACTGGGGGAATGGGGCTCAGCCTGATAGCAATGAAAAGTGCAAAGGTGAAGAATTAACCAATACTACTCAGCCTGGCTTACAGCGCACAGCTTTTTGAAGTGTTTTGTTTTCCCGGGCAGTAAATTCCTACACCGTTTCTTGATATTTATTTGGCATAAACAATTATGTGTTCCTTGTTTAAAAGACAATACGTAATCAAACACCATGCACATAGCACGGTATGTTATAAAGACCACATGGATAACATCTTCAACATTCATCATTATGCTGCCTCACATTATGTGATAATATTGTACGGTGAATACTGATTGGCCAACAAGTTAGTATGATTTTCACCCGGTCAGGATTGTTAAGTTATGAATATGATCTCTACTGTGTATCTACAGGTTGCTATACAAAATCACTATAGGTCCATCCACAATAGCTGTACATCATTTGGTAGCAAGGGTAATGGCAGGGTGCAGTTCGAGGATCCATTTGGCATCACAATCAGCAACGATGGAAAGGTCTTTATTGCTGATTCTGGCAATAATCGGGTGAAGGTTAGTCTATAGAAACCAGCACAGAGATCTATCTCAATACACAATTGTCATCATCTTCTTGATGTATAGCAAGACATGTAAACTGCATCTGCAGTATTACTCTACAGTAAGTCATTGGTCTGGTAGATAGTGTTATCAACCCACATTTCCTTATGATAGTTTCTCCTCTCCTAAAAGCCATCATACCATAGGAAGGTGTGAAACGATCTCTTGGATCCCCATATTCTATTTTCATATCGGAGCTTTGGGATTCGATATAACAGTGTATACCAACCCGAAATCGGGTTTTCCTTTGCTGGAAAAGAATCTTAAAAGAAAACTGCCCCACACGTGATCAATCAGCTCAAACGCAGAAACTTTAGCTTCTTCATCTTTTTTTTTCTTTGCTCGAGGAAATGCTTCTTAGAAAGTTTCTGTTGTCTTGAGTTTTCGGTAAGGAATGCGCACCTCAGGATGTTTTTTCGCTAGTCCAGCGGGCTCTGGGCCAAGCCTTGCGCCCCCTCGAGAGGCGTTTGGCATCTTTGGAATGCCACAATAGTCGATGCGGGTGTGAAATTTGGAGTCCAACTCTAGGCACGAGCATGACTCGCGGATCGTGGATGGTACATGTACCCCGGAAACTGATCCACTCCTGATCCCAGTTCCTTCCCAATTGGCTGAGTCCTCTTTGGCCAGGTCTACTCTGCCCGCTCAGGCTTCTAGATCCGGTCTTGAGCATATGTGTAATGGTAGCCGAGTGGTAGGCACGGTGCAATCAACAAGAATTACTTTTATTCTACTTCTTTCAGGTACACACCTGAGATATAATTATTAGTGAAAGAAGAAGCGGCAAAATAACTGACTTTCTCTCTGGTGCACACCTGGAGGTTGAATAGCTCGTTATTATCAAAATCTCATCTAAACAGAAATGCGCAGCAGCTTTTATGCAGCAGACGCCGTACGCTTATATACGGAGATACACTAACTATCCATCAGCCAAAGCTCCGTATTAGTTCTGTACTACTTCCGTATTGGTCGGGCAGGGATACTACACCCTCCCTTCCTACAGATTATCACGCCCTCGTGATTTTCAAAAAGATTAGTGAAGAGTTACGAACACAGCGTCAACCGGAAGATGGCAAATTATATCGGAAATGATAACGTTTAGATTAGACAGAAGAAATGAACTGATAACAAATCATAAAGTAGAAGTAAAAGCACACCAGGTTCACACGATCTCACGGGGTCAAAAGGGAAAGAACTGTTCTCCAAACAGGACGTGAAAGACAGCCAAATTTTTGCACATCGCGGGCTCAAGCTGCCAGGAAATTCACAATTTCAAAAAAATGCGCTGCATCGTGGGAACTTACTCCGGTACACACCTGGAGTGTAAAAGGGGATTCTCACAGACTTCTCTCACCAGGTTACTTAGGTAAACCGTGGCTCACCATGATCAGACGCCTACCAAACTAAACTGGATTCACACACTCGCATAAAGGAAGACTGAAGAGAAAAGGGAGACTGAAGGAAGACAGGAAAGAAAATGCCATACCTGGAATCAGCGTTAGTAACCACGGCGGTGGCTGGAGCTACGGCGGAGGTCAAGCCAGGTTTTATGTTCATCTTGGTTGAGCCGGTCACTCAGAGCGGCTAGCTCGGCGTCAGACAAATGACCTCCCTCCTCGTCTTGAATCGTGGTCTTCACATTGTCGATAGCATCGCTTTGCGCGACGTAAAGAGTGATGGTCTAGCCAGGAAGAGTGTTGACGACAATATGCATCCCACCACGGAGGCGAAGTACCAAATGAAGAGTGGACTCCTGCTGAACGTTGTTGTGGTCACTCAGGGTTCGGCCGTCTGCCAACTGCGTGCCGGCAAAAATCAAACGCTTCTGGTCTTGGGGAATACCCTCCTTGTCTTGGTCAGCAGCCTGCATGTCGTCGTCCTCATCAGCTTCGCCATCACCACCGGTAGTATACATGTAGGTAGCGGGTCGCTTGGAATCGCCATTGGAGTGTCCAGTGAGTGCCGTGCCGAGAGAAGGGTGATCCACGCTAGCACCCTTACTGTGCTGCAGGCTAATAAGCAGGGCCAGGCCCAGGAAAGCAAGAAACATGATTCTCATCTTGATTCGTCGCACGGAGCTGCAGCGGGTTGAGCCATGGGGGCCTGGGGTCGAATCACATTGTTTTATTTATTTTTTAAACACACCGCTGCCACCAATGTAATGGGTAGCCGAGTGGTAGGCGCGGTGCAATCAACAATAATTACTTTTATTCTACTTATTTCAGGTACACACCTGAGATATAATTATTAGTGAAAGAAGAAGCGGCAAAATAACTTACTTTCTCTCCGGTGCACACCAGGAGGTTGAATAGCTCGTTATTATCAAAATCTCATCTAAACAGAAATGCGCAGCAGCTTTTATGCAGCAGACGCCGTACGCTTATATACGGAGATACACTAACTATACATCAGGCAAAGCTCCGTATTAGTTCCGTACTGCTTCCGTATTGGTCAGGCAGGGATACTACATATGCGTGGCGGGTTCGTTGATGGCGACCTGGTAAATAATCCAACCCTGAAGCCACTTGCTGCTCGGTCCACCTCGAGAGAGCCACCTAGGCTACAACCTCTTCCCTCAAACCTGTGTGATCCTGAAGATCCAGCAGGTCTGGCACAATCAAGCCACCTGCCGCTTGTACGACGCTATCTGGTGTGGCAACTGATGATTTGGACTCTCAGTCTGGTAGCACACATAGTCTGGAGTCCGACTGTGTGGGTCACACTACTGACTGGCCAGTGGATGACGGGATGAGGAGGAGGGTTTACCCGATATGTTTCATACAAAACTGCCAAGCTTCCCAAGTCATGTCTTCACTCGGAACCTTGACGCAAATCCGGGCAGGAAATTTCCCGCCGCTACCCTCGCCCGGACACTCCCGCTGCATTAGTCCTGGCTTTGGATGCGCAAGTCGCCCGCATGGTATATTCTGCTGACAGGAAGCTACCTCGGTCAGAGGCTCGGCCGGATAGGCCTCAGTATCTGACGCAGCCGAAGTTGTTGAATGTGGTGGATCCCGTTGTGCTTCATTCTTGAGGTACAAGCAAAACCCTGACTTCGGTGAGCAAGGTCAGCAGATGATCCAGGAGGCCGCTACGGCGGCACTGCGTCTCCCGGTAGATGCTAAACAGGCACTTACTATAAAACGACGTTCCATCTGTTTATCTAAGATCCACCGCAAGCTCTCTATCCTAGCCCCAGCAGATCTTGCTAACCCTGGTTAGTCAAAATTTGGCTCTGCCCAGAATGAGCAGATAACTAAGTGAGCGGAACCGGACAAGGTCTGGGTCGATGTACGTCATACGCTGCCTGCAAGTCATGGCCATGTGGATTGAAAAGACAGACGGCCGACAAGCTTCGAACAAGTCCAGAGGAACAGCAACACCAAATGCCGCAAGCCTTCAGAGGCTTTCCCTGTGCCGTTTTTTGAGGGAGAGGAGCCCGCAGGAATGGGTGGACCTCCGCAAGCCATGTCCCTCACCGTCCACATTACTCCAAGAAGCCGCAGTGTCAACCCCGGTCACACCAACAGCCCGACAACAAGCAAGGCCCTCTGAAGCCAAACAGCGCCTAATACGTTTCCCTCTAGAGGTGTGCTTGCAGGCACTACCACCAGAACTGCAGTGCGGATGCACCCATTTACCCAAGTGGGGTTTGGACTGGAGGTTGCCCGCCTCAGAGGTCCAGTGACGTCCGAGCGGCCTAATTGGAGGTCAGACCAGACGCTGGCGTCAGCTGACCGAAGACTCAGAAGTCACGCAATATGTGCAAAGGTTTTTGCCTGGAGTTCAGTCAGGAACCAGTCCAGTGGTGGAAGCCACTCCCCAGGAAGATGTCCTAAGATTTGACAGCAGTGGTGACAGAGAAGTGGAGGTGCTGCAAGAGAACAGTGCCCGGGAAAAGGTGCCCTTGGCACCCCTGGCTTTCTCAGCCCACTGTGTGTACGGAAAAAGAACGGTAAGATGCGCCCAGTGGCCGACCTGCGGGAATTGAACCAGTTTGTGCAATACCACCATTTTATAATGGAAGGTATTGCCACCATGCGCGAGGCACTGATAAAGAACGATTTATGGTGAAAGTGGACCTAATCAACGCATACATGTCAATGCCAGTGCATCCAACCTTTCGTTCGCTTCATTTAGGTGCTGTGGTAGAGTCGGTAGTACCGATTTGCAGCAGTCCTGTTTGGCCTGGCATCTGCTCCGCGGCAATTCACCAAGCTCCTTTAACCGGTGATCACCTTTTTCCAACTACAGGGTGTACGTCTGGTCGTGTACCTGGACGATATACTCATCATGGCTAGATCATTTCAAGAGGCGTTGCAGCATGCGGCCAATCTCATTCATCTGTTGCTGGCCCTGGGTTTCCAGGTAAACTTCAGCAAGTCAGAACCTCAGCTCTTACAGGTGTTGGAATTTCTGGGATTCCACATCAGTTCAATAGCCATGACATTAGAACTACCTACGGACGTACAAGGTCCATCGGACGTTGACAACTTGCCGGAGCTTAATTGCCCAGAGGCAGGGTACGGCTCGACGCCTTGCCAGCATCCTGGAGCTGATTTCCTCAGCAGCGCTCTCGATTCTTCCGGCTTTCGGAAGCAGCATTGGAGGATTTGTCTTGGTGGCTTCAGCACCTGGAGGGGTTCAACGGGCGCTCTGTTCCTCTGCCAGTTCCAGACCTGGTCTTGCAGACGGATGCAGCATCAACAGTCGGCTGGGGAGCAGTGTGTGGTCATCGCCATGCATCAGGACTTTGGACACTGGCGGAGAAGCACATTCATATCAACTGCTTGGAACTACGTGCAGCCTTCTTTGGTCTGCAATCACTAGCAAAGGATCTTAGAACCCTCACCACAGCGGCAACTGCTCTGGCCGGTTGGCTGAAGTCTCGATGCCTCATCTTGAACGCCGCCAAGAGCCAGGTTTTGACTATATCTCCCCAGCAGCATGTAGAG